AAAAGAAACAATCTGAGTAATGTTACCTCTCCATCCCAGACATGTCTGGCAGTATGGTCAGTGTACCCTGTCAGCAGGGACATATCTGAGGGATCCCCTGGTAAACCGTCAGGCTCATCATCATCGTCGTCACCAGCATCCTCTGGTGGTGGGTCATCACCCTCTGGAGGTGGCACCGGATCACCGACAGGAGGAGGAACAAGAGTATCCCGACGAGGCCTGCGGAAGGACAGGGCCTGTGGTGAACCTCAGCTGAATCCCGACGCCTCCGGGATGAAGAAGTAGATGATGGAATGGGATACGAGGTCGAGGGAATATCCTGGGAATATGATGAAGAAGGTTTTGTCTCGGTTGTATCGGCCTCGGTAATGGTGGCCTGGCTCCACACGCGTCTCACAGATTCATAACCCGTCCAAGTCGCAATCTATCTTCTCTGTCTGCCATAATGTCTGCAAGGTATAACCAAGAAAAAACAATTAGATACAAATAAATTAAAAAACAAAAAAATAAAAAATAAACATTTTTTTACTTCCGAATGTGAACATACAGAAAACTTCCGTAGATGTATCTACAGAAGAACCCAGAATTCAGAAGTTTGATTTGTTCCGGAGCTGCATCTACGAAATTTCCCTAACATTAATTTGTTCCTTAGATGTAGCTCTGGAATTTCCTACAACTCCAACAGTCACGACAATGTCGTCTTCTACCCATGAAAATCGATTTTTTGAAGCCTTGATCGTCCGTTTCAGCCAACAAATAATATCTACATTGTCTCTAATTATGTTTCTAAAACTATCTAAGGATTTCAACCCCTAAAACTATATTCTAACTCGTTTACGGGAAATACTCGAAAATACCTCAAAAACTCAAAAACTTACTGATTATATCAAGCTTTGAATGAGTTGGAGTGTCTTAATCGTTGAAATGAATGCTCCTTGTCGAACTTGATTGAAAAAGTTAAGTTTGGTGAAAAAATATTTTTTGAGTATTGAGAGAGTTTGGAGAGTTTGAGAGTGAAGAAGATGAAAAATGAAGAATGAGGGAGGAGAAGGGACTCTGGCACAAATGTATTCGCATTAGTTTCGGAGATATATAAACTGAAACATTTCGTAGATGTAGCTTCGGAAAAAACCAACGTTGAGTAAAAAAAAGTGCGTCTGAAGATACATCTCCGAAAGCAGGATGGTATTTTTAAAAGCGCACATGGTGCCTAAAAACCCCAAGGAGTGGGGTAAGAAATTCTCTTCCAAAATTCTAAACAAAGACCAAATCCCACCTACCTTTTCTTTCAAAATCAAATAACACCATATCCCAAATTAAGACGCAATTCAAAAAGTGCTTTTTTTTTTTTATTATTTATTTTATTATTTTTATAATTGTTGTTTAAGAATTAGGATTTTGTGTGATGTTATATTGGACTTGGCCTAGCAAATAGTTCTATACACCTTCTTCTTTTTTTCACACTTTGTTTTATGTGTGGATTCAAATTTATGTTAGTCGGGTAATTTAAATGCTTACAATTTTTAAATTAAGTTATAGAATTATTATAGTTTTATTTAAACTTTTTTTAATTATAATTAAAGCACATATTAGTTAACTTTAATATTATTTAGTTATTCATTTGCCAAAATGATTAAAAATCAAAATTAAGATTTACTACTTAACTTAATTTTTAAGAAAATGTCATTTTCCCTTATTCGTAAGAATACAAAAAAATAAACAACTAAAACTTATCTTGTTAATAATCCTACAGACATTTGTAGATAAATCTTAACTTTTAAATCAAATCAATTATATTTTTTTTATAAATAAATCAATCCTATTATATTGATGGGACATCATGAGGGAGAATCATACACATTAGTTCAAACACTTACTTAAAAATCATAGACTCACCCAAACAAGTGAGAGAGACACCACATATTCACCCAAAACCTTAGGCTAATAAGTGTATAGGTCATCTTCCTTATAAACTGCTTAACCTCTATTTTTCTAAGCAATGTAGAACTTAGAACTTGCACCTGCTTCTCCACACAACTCACACTTATTTCTCAATAATCTCCCCCTCAAGTGTGAGTTCATCCACTATGCTCCCACTCAAGCGGAAGATCTTTCATCCATATGTTTGTACTGCCGTTGAGAGACACCCTGATCTCGTCATGGGAACTTCAACAGAACACGCCGCCTGACCACCACGTCAGAAAGACATTTGACACAAGGAGCCGGTCCCTTATTCGAACTAGGCTCTGATACCAGTTGTTGGGAAAATAACAACCAAAAAAAAAATTTCTATGCATGAGGAAGCATACACACAAAAAAGAAAAAGAAGTAAATAATTCCAACAAAAACTCATAAAATCATACTTCAATTTGTAATTTTTATAAAGATAAAATTACAAACTCTCCCATACAATTGCAAATTTTAAGGAGAAAATTGCAAACCCTTTAAATTACAATTTTGGAACGGAAAAATTGTAAACCAGACTCAATTACAATTTTCGGACGGAAAAATTACAAACTCTCTCTCAATTGTAATATTTGGACGGAAAATTGAAAACCCTCTCTCAATTGCAATTTTTGGACGGAAAAATTGTGAACCCTCTCAACAAACCATTTTTGAACGGAAAAATAGAAAACTCTTTTTCCTAGCTCTGATACCAGTGATGAGACATCATGAGGGAGAATCATACACATTGAGTCAAATACTTATCTAAAGGTCAAAGACTCACCTAAACAAGTGAGAGAGACACCACATATTCATCCAAAACCTTAAAGTGATAGGTGTATGAGTCCTCTTACTTATAAAGTGTTCAACCTCTACTTTTCTAAGCAATGTGAGACTTAGAACTTACACTTGTTTCTCCATCCACCTCACACTTATTTCCCAACACATTTGTGATTAACTATTGTGTATAATCTTATCAAACATTTTTCACGATCAAATTAACCCAACAATTTTATAAATAAATGAATGAGGGGATGCTCATCTACCTTGTCCGTGAACAATTGATGGGTTAGTGTTTACCATATCGATTTATCATCCAAAACTAAAATATTTAAAATCATAGATTTTCATGATTTAGGATTTATTGTTTTTTAAAATCACATATTGATAAATCTAATTTGTTTGTACTAATTTATTATATAAGCATAGGTATGTAATAGATCTAGTCATTTATATATTTTTTCTTACAATTAAGGTTATATGAACTCTTATTTTTAAATTGATAATATTAATCAAATTCAATTTGAGCTTTGAGTGAAAATTAAATTATAACAATTGTTACATTGTTTATTTAAATTTTATTTGGTTGTTGTGATTTATGATAATCTAGATGTGTTTCATTAAAACTTGTGCTATATTTTTCTTTCGGGTGTGTATATATATAAAAGACCGGCTTGTGAGTGTGCAAGAAGTGTTATCGCACATAATCTCTAAATTTAATGGGCCTCACATTAAATAGGGAGACTTAATATAGAAATTTTTTTAAATAATATTTAACATATATAACATTTTCTAATACTAATATTATCCTATGATCAACTGAGAGGTGGTGATAGCATAATATTATTGGATAGTAACCGTACGTGGATTCGACTTTCACGTTTTCTTTTTTAATGTATATTTTTTATTTTAATAAAAACAGTATCACATGAAATTGTCTTATTTATTATTGCAATTAATTTCATCAACTTTTTTCCTTTATTGTTATACAGTATAAATATAAATTATTGAAGTAAATCTCTTAGATCCTATTCATGTAAAACTGCGCTGTTTAATTTTATTTTTAAAAAATATTTTATAATTTTAATAAATTAATTATTATTTTTTATTTAAATTATTATTATATAAATTGTAAATTAAATTATTAGATTTTAAAAAAATTTTAACTTATTTTAACCTAACATTTTTACAAGTTTTCCGCTAATTTGTGAGATATGTAAAAACTTTAATTTCACATATTGTCCATTATTAATTAAAATACTTTGTTATTAACATTGTCGAAATTATTTTCTTTTATTAAATGGTATGAACACTTCTATATCGGTTTTTTTCATATATATTCTTAATTTATTTTCTACAAAATATTTCTATATTATTTATTTCTACCAAATGCAAAAAAACTAGACTTTGAAGAGTTAAATTTCTATCAAATATTTCTATATCATTTTATTCTATTTATTTATTGTATTTTTATCTATTAATATTTAATTTTAAAATAGAACAGAACCTCCATATTCTCCAGACTGGTTATATATATATATATATATATATATATATATATATATATATATATATATATATATATATATATATATATATATATATATATATATATATATATATATATATATATATATATATAATAAAAATGTAATCTTAAATTGAATCAGATATGGTATATTATATATAATAATAATAATAATAAATTTTTCTTTTTTCTTAAAGTGATTTAAAAAAAAATTCAATCTCATTCTAAACTATTCCATACACATATTCTCTTCCAAAACTTGTTCCTCTAACCGTTGTTCCTTGTTGATTGTTGCGACTAGGAAATATTGGTCCTTGTATGATGCTAGTACTATACGGAAAGTTTTAATGTAATAAATTTGAATGATTTAATTCAAAAAATCAAATTAATTTATATTTTTGAAATTTGAAAATAAAAAATTTGAAGTATATTGGACAACAGTACGCTCGAAATTAACTGCTTTATGGATGATTTTTTTTTTATATAGAATTTTATTTATGGAATTAAAGTATACTTGAGTAGTTTGTTGATATATTTTTGCATTAATTTTAAATATTAAAATTGAATAAATTGAATGCGAGTAAATAAAGGGATAAACTTTTAAAATGGAATAAATGAAATATTTGCTTTTTCTCAATAACAAATAAGATATTTGTTTAGATAGAATTTGTTGAGATACATGTTTGTTTTAATTTGTAACTAAGAGTTTGGAGTTTGAATTGAAGTGGTTGGAGCGTTAAAGTAAGAGATGGGTCTAGATGGTAGTGATGATGTACCTGGCAAGGGTCAGTCTTCTAGTAGTTGGATTTTATTGGATGCTACAGGCCAAGGGTTGATTATGGAGATGGATAAATGTGATATCATGCATAGGGTGGAGATTGATGCACGTGATCTTAGAATTCTTGATCCATTGCTTTCTTACCCTTCTACAATTTTCAGTCGTCACAAGCTTATTGTTCTTAATTTCGAGGTGTCATATGGTTTTGTTATGTTTTTGTTTTTCACATTAAAACATATATGTTTTGTTCTCTGTTTCTTATTTTGTTTTTATGATTCTATGTTTCAGCATATCAAGGCAATTATCACCTCTGAAAAGGTTAGTTTTTATTCATCATTCTCAACTAAGTCTTTTAGTTTTCTTCTTCTTTGGTAAATTAGTTTTACATCCAACAAAAGTTTATCATATTGTTTTTTTATAAGCAATAAGTTGATTTAGACGATAGTATTAGAGATGCTTCAACCCAAATTATATAAAAAAAATATTTATCAAAGGGAATAATTACACATGCCTAAAAAAAATCACAAGGATAATGTATCTATTCATAATAGTTACACTTACTCTTGTTTTTAGAGCTTGAAGCTAGCCACTGCCAAGAACAAACTATGATCTTTTGAACGATAATCTCCGGATCTCTAACCTCGTTATTAAATATAATTTAGTTCCTTGAATACCAAATACACCAACAAGAAATTTTACGGCAGACTAACATCTTCTTCAACTAAGAAGCAAAACACACAAACAATATAATGAGTATTGTTTAAAATACCTCTATCTGCCAGATTAGCTCTAGCAGGCAGCTTATCCAAAATCAACCTCCAATCAAACACTTTTGCTTTCATAGGCATAGATGAATTCCAAAACAATTTAAGTGATGTCTTGCGCGTCTCATGAATAACAAAGCCTCCTATGCGCAACTGATGTCTGTCATAATAGGAAGCTACTGAGAATGATTTGAAATCAGCCCACGGCCAAAAATAATTATCAGCGATCCCTACTGTTGGACAGACTCCTCCAACAACGCGTTCAACTCATCAATGTCAACCTGCAAGTTGTGACTGCCAACAAAACCCAAGGCAGCAACATTCCAACTCCAAACACGACCATTCCAGCTGTCACCATTCCTCACAACCACATCCTTAACAGAGGCAGCCTCAAATAAATTAGGGAAACAATGTCTTTAGATTGTCTTGGCCAATTCATTTTCCAGCCTAGAACGCAATAAACGCTCCCCTCAGCCTGAAAGTTAACATTTAAAAGAAAAGTCTCTTATCTGTGTCATCCCTTAACTGCATCAAATCTCGCCACCGTAATGATTCTAGGCAAGCACCTCCACTCATATCCTTGCTTAGAATCCTACTCTTGATATTTCCATATTTATGATTGATGATTTCCAGCCAAATCATTTCTTCCTCCGTTAAGAATCTCCACAGCCATTTTGAAACAAGTGCCATATTGAACATAGCAATGTCTCGTATCCTGAGCCCCCCTTTCTCCTTTGGACGGGAAACCGACTCCCAACTGACCCAAGCCACACTAGTTTTATCCACTGAACCAGCCTACAGAAACTTACGTTGGATAGACCTGATTTCCTTCAACACCATGGTTGGAGCTCATTAATATCGTATCTATTAGCGTTACTCTACCACCAATGAAACACATTTTTCTTTTCCAAGATGAGAGCCTAACCTTGAAACTATTTCTGACATGCCTCCAAAATGAGCATCTTCTATAGTTTCCCCCACTGTTTACCCCAAGAGCTTGAACGGACAACACCACTTTTACATGCCAAGAATTGAGACGACGCCTTGATAAACGACTCATTCACCCCAATACCCAAAATACTACTCTTCGAGACATTAATCTATAAACTGAATACCATCTTAAAGCTGCGACCGAAGGATTGCCTTTATCATATTATTGCACAAAACTCACTTTATTTATTATTTCCACTTTTAACGGTGTGGGATATCAAGCACTTTAGATTCCTTTCAATCTCTTTTAAAAATATATATAGTTTGAAGTTTTTATTAAAAAAATAAATAAATAAAAGTAGAATTTAATATTTTGAAAAAATAAGGATAATTTTCTTTGATGTGTCTAAAATTTTATTTTAAATTTGTTTGGAGTTGTTTTTCATTTTACATTTTAAAAAATTTTAAAATCTAAAATTTCTTTTAATTTTAAACTTTGTAAATTCAAAAGTTAAAATTAATTTTGAGTTATAAAACTTTATACATAAATATTCATTAAATATATAGATATGTTGATCCAAACCATTTGTCACGTTATATTTACAAAATAGGAATATAACATATATTTAAAGTGATCACTAATAAATTGAATAATATTGGTCCAAAGGGATGGTTCTCGACAGATTTGCGTTGGAATGATGATTAGTAATAGGGATAGGTGGTGGTCATGTTGGTTTACATTAGTCCGAGTGGTAGAAGATGGTGATTATGAATTGTTAGATCGTTAATCAAAGGTGGATGGAATGGTGATCAATAATGGTTAAAGTGATGATCAGCGGTGGTCAAAGTAATGGTTGACAATACTTAAATTAATGACCAAAGGTGGTTTTTGGCGGTGGTCAGATTGATGATGAAAGGTGTGTGAAGGGGTGATGAGTAGTTATTGGTGTGGTGATTGACGAAATAATGGTTATAATGGTAATCATGGATAATTAGATTAGAGATCACATCTAAATACAATGATAATCAGATGTTGTCATATAATGGTGGCTGTAGAAATGAATTTTTTTTAAATAATAAGGGATAAACCATATATTAAAATGTATAGAAACAAATGAGTTACAAATATACAAAAGTAGTTAAGAGAATCATAAGTGCTCAGTAAACACTGAAACCAACCCTAGATACAAAATAGGACGAAAAACAAGCAGAAAAAGCAAAAACTATCAAACTAACAACCAATATGAACAAATAACAATTCAATAACTTGTGAGGGATATCCTAAATCCTCATATAAAACCGAACTTTCAGAATGAGCAAGTAGCAAGAAGATAAGCAAGTTCATCTACACAAAATAAAAAGGAGGGCACTTGCCCACCCAACAAACCTCTAACCGCCCAACCACTTAAGAAGGTCCTTCTCCTAGTCAACCAAAGAAATGGAAACATTTGAAGGATGAGCGTGAATCCACTTCCAAGTCGAACTAATAATCGTAGATATCTAGTGATTAATTGTCAAGCTTTCCCGACCAAAAATAACTTTATTCTGTATTTTCCAAATAATTCAAACCACAAAATGCCAGATTGAGATCGAGTTTATAAACGCTTGTTTTCCATTCCTAAAACTCTAGAACAACTCAAAAAAAACCTAGAATCGAGTGCGGTAGAGGTCATGCCTCCATACACCCAAAACAAAGATATGATTAGCTAAATCCACATGTTCAACGCACACTACACTCCCCATCACTATACCCCGACACAATTTGACACATAAAAAAAAAGCCTAGTCAGCAACTTATTTTTGAATCATCTGTCAAGAGAGTACTACCACTTTATAAGGCGTTCAACTTTTCCAAACCCTAACACTATCCTCTCAGACCTACCTTCCTGACCCTAGACAAAGTCAAAAGGTTATCATAAGCAGAACCGATTGAGAAGCCCTTAATTAGGTCTAACTTTCAAACTCAAACATCTTCCTGACCACGATTGACAACCCCCTGAATAAGGGAAAGCAATGCCTCAAAGAGTTCCTCCTCCCAGACAAGGAGGGTCCACCTTCACCTAAAACTCCAAACCCAAGTAGACACTTCCTAAGAATTGAAGGAACCCACAATTTGAGAATTTTAATTTGAGATAAGAAAAAATATCTCAAGAGAAACACACAGAGGCCTATTATCAACCATCCTCCCACAGAAGAAGACAAATCAATAAAGCTCCTGATCTAGTGGAGACCCAAGAAGAGAAACACCTACCCACCAATGAGACACCCTAAGATGACCTTCCTTACCTTCCAAATAGGATCTGAACCCCTGAGGCCCATATCTTGCTTTGCTAATGTCTCTTTAGAGTGAAGGCAAATGCAAAAGAATCATCTACCTTCACTTACTTAACAATGCAAGATTAACAAGTCTAAGATCCTTCATCCCTAACGCACCTACCATTTTGCCTTTACTCACATCCTCTTACTTCATTCACGCGAGCTTAACTCCTCCTTTAGAGCTCCCTAAAGAAAACGCTTTTGCAAACCAACCAAGTTCTCCATAAAAGACACAAATAATACAAGAATCGAGTTCAACACCGAATTCAACAAAACCACCCTGCCACCTAAACTAACAAATCTATTTCTCCAAGAAGTCAATCTCTTAGCGACAAGGTTGACAAGGGGGTCCTAAGTTCCTTCTTTCTTCGAGTTCATACTCATTAGAAGCCCTAAATACTTAAAGGGGCGGGACCCCACCTCAAAGTGTAAAAAAACCTCCGGTCCATATGTACTCACCTTGAATTCTTCAAACACAATCAGAGAGATGGTTAACTGTAATTGGAGTAATGGTTGATGGTAGTTGATGGTTGGATATTGATGACGACTATTTGTAGAGACATTTTAGCATTAAAAGCAAAATCATAAAATTTTAAAATCTCTTTTTTGAAATGTGTTTTAGTGAAAAGTACTAGTACTATTTTTTGTGTAAGGTTTTTATTCTAAAATTGATTTTCAAAACCAAGAGTTACTACCACCCTAATAACACATGACGTAGGTATTTTTGCGAGATCCAAACAATGAAAATGTGGTCCCTATCGTTGAGAAACTGCAGAGGCAATTGTCTAAACTCAGTGTCACTCATCAACAACAAGAACAATATCTCAGCGCTTTGCCTTTTGAGTTTCTTGCATTGGAGGTAGCTTTAGAAGCCATTTGTAGTTTTCTTGCTGCACGCGCAATGGAGTTAGAGATAGATGCTTATTCCGCATTAGATGAACTTACCTCCAAGGTACATAAATTATTCAATTCTTCATCTTGTCTTGATGAATCTGTTGGTTTTATGTTTCTGAAATTATATTAATCTACAGATTAGTACTCGTAGTTTGGACAAAGTTCGTAAACTAAAGAGTGCAATGAAAAGAATGAGTGCTAGGGTTCAAAAGGTATGTCATGTTTTCCATATTTTTCTCGTTCTCGGAATACCAATTCTTATTATCTGCTACAGATTAGAGATAAGCTTGAACAATTGTTGGATGATGACAATGATATGGCTGACCTATACTTGTCAAGAAAGGCTGATTCGGCGTCACCGCTCAGTGGATCAAATGTGTCTAGAGCAAGTTGTGGAGATGAAAATGATATGGATGAGCTTGAACAGTTACTCGAGACTTATTTCAAGCAAATTGATGGCACATTAAACACCTTGACCACACTGCGAAAGTATATCGATTATACAGATGACTACATTAAAATTCAACTTGACAACCATCGCAATCAACTAATTCAGTTAGACATGTTTCTGGCCACCGGAACTCTTTGCCTATCTGTCTACTGTCTGGTGGCTGGTATTTTATGCATGAACATACCATATACTTGGAATGACGACCATGACTACATGTTCAAATGGGTAAGCAAATTACTTTTGTTTATAATTAAGCATGTGGTTGCAAAATTTCTAACGTATATTTACTTGCAGGTAGTTATTGTGGGAGGAGTATTTTTTGCTATTATGTTTCTCATGATTACCCTCTTTGCTGGCAAAAAAGGATTGCTTGGAACATGAAGATCAATAGCATGGAAATGGAAGAGAATGAACTCTAGGACTAACTATCATGGATAGAAAATTTACAATTGTAATACTTTCTCCGCCATCTCACAATAAATGTCCTCTTAAATATTTTATATTTTTAAATATAATAATTAATTATATTAATTTTAATGATAAAATAAATATTATTTATTAAAATAACTTTATTAACAATTGTGGAGTAGTTGTATGATTTAAAATATATAAATAAGTATAAGTTATTGAAAAAAATAATAATAAATATCATATTGATATTTTAAAAAAATAAATAATTTGAGATAAATAAAAAAAATGATACATATTCTAAGACGGATGGAGTATTAAGTTAATACATATATTCATTAGGAGTTTTAGAAATATTAATGATTAAACTCAAATTTTTATATTGACCGATGTTAATTAAGTTATAGAGACGTTTAGAATCTATAAAATCTAAAGAAGAGCTTTTAACTTTTAAATTTTCATGTTAATGAAAAAAATCTTTTTGATATTTGTTGTTTAATTTTTAGTTTGTAGCATTTTTATTAGCTTTTAGATTTCTTTTTCAAAAACCATTTGAAGTAGCTTTTAACTTGTAATTTTTTCTTTTATTTATACTCTTACTATTTTAAAAAATATATATTTTTACTCTTCAATGTAATATATATATATATATATATATATATATATATATATATATATATATATATATATATATATATATATATATATATATATATATATATATATATATATATATATATATATATATATATATATATATATATATATATATATATATATATATATATATATATATATATATATATATATATATATATATATATATATATATATATATATATATATATATATATATATATATATATATATATATATATATATATATATATATATATATATATATATATATATATATATATATATATATATATATATATATATATATATATATATATATATATATATATATATATATATATATATATATATATATATATATATATAATACACTAGCCTCAGTTTACAAAATAAAAAATGATATAATATTCAATATTTTTAAGTAACATCTAAATTATATCATATATTTTGAAATTGTGTTGATAATCTTCAATTTAGTGAAACGTCATAGGAGAATCAATGAGATCAAATAGGATAAAAAAAATTCAGAATATCATTGCAGTTTTATTATAGAATATTAAATAATAAATTTATTTTTATTATTATTTTGAATTAATCTATTTGAATTCAAAGTTACAATGTTTTTAACTTGAGTATTTCGTTAAATTTTATTATAAAATTAATATACAAATTTAATATATTTTGATGCTATCTTTAATTTTTCATATATATTAAAATTGTTTTGCATGCTTTTATTAATACATTTATTTTTATCGAATAAAAACTAATTTAATAATATGATATAATAATATAATGAAAAACTAATTTTTAATTAAGAATATCTTTTTATATCATTTTGTATCTATCAATTAGTGTAATAACTAATTTACCAAATACTCGAATTAACTTAATAGTTAATCTGTCTTCAGCTATCAGCTTATTTTAATGATGAACTTTACTAATACAATCTTGTATTTGTTCTTAGTTATTATAAATTTCACTTTTTAATATGTGTGTGTGTGTGTGTTTCTGTGTGAGTGTGTGTGAGTGTGCGTGTATGTGTATGTATGTGCATGCGTGCGTGCGAGCGTGTTTGTGTGTGTGTGTGAGTGTGTGTGTGTGTGTGTGTGTGTGTGTGTGTGTGCGTGCGTGTGCGTGTGTGTGTGTGTGTGTGTGTGTGTGTGTGTGTGTTTGTGTGTATGCGAGTGTGTGTGTGTGTGTGTGTGTGTGTGTGTTTGTGTGTATGCGAGTGTGTGTGCGTGTATGCTTGTGTGTGTGTGTGCGTGTGTGTGTGTGTGCGTGCATGTGTGTGTGTGTGTGCGTGCACGTGTGTGCGTATGTGCGCGTGCGTGTGTGTGTGTGTGCGTGCATGTGTGTGCGTGCGTGTGTGTGTGCATGTGTGTGCGTGCATGTGTGTGTGTGTGTGCGCGTTTGTGTTTGTGTGCATTTGTGTTTGTGTGTATTTGTGTGTGTGTGTGTGTCTGTGTATCGTCAAGAACGAATCAAAATATGCAAAAAAAGATTAAGTTTCTTGAACAAACACAAGAAACTCTATTAGGTTTTGCAAAATGGAGAGAAGAATGAAGAAGAAGAATAAGAATTGTTTAAATATATTTTACTATTCACTTTCTCAATAAGGCTTCATAGATTACAAGTGAATACTAACAGTTAACCTCTCTCAACAACCTGAGAGAACTAGTCTATTTATATACTACTATGCTAACTTAGGATACAAGCTAACTTAAGAATTGGTCTTAGGAGTAAGGTCAAATTCGACATACTAACTTAAATTATAAGTTAATATATTTCAATATTATGCTCAAACAGACTTCGACTACAGCATACACAACTCCTGTCAAACCATGAAATTACCCTTGTCGACACTAGAGTTCGATCCAAATACCACAAATCACCACCTTAGAAAAAAAATATATAACAAGGGTACACTTGAGATATATATTCAGAATACACAACTCTTGTCGAACCATGAAGTTACCCCTGTCTAATACTTATAGATATATATTCAAGTGTGTTTGTGTGTGTGTCTGTGTGTGTGTGTGTGTCGTCAATAACAAACCAAAATATGCGAAAAAAGATTGAGTTTCTTGAACAAACCCAAGAAACCCTATTAGGTTTTGCAAAAGGGGGAGAAGAAGAAAGAATAAGAATAAGAATTGTTTAAATATGTTTTACTATTCACTTTCTCAATAAGGGTTCATAGATTACAAGTGAATACCAACAATTAACCTCTCTCAACAACCTGAGATAACTAGTTTATTTATAGACTACTATGCTAACTTAGGATACAAGCTAACTTAAGAATTGGTCTTAGAAGTAAGGTCCAATTCGCCATACTAACTTAAATTATAAGTTAATATATTTCTGACATTATGCTCGAACAGACTTCAGCTACAGCATACACAACTCATGTCAAACCATGAAGTTACCCTTGTCGACACTAGAGTTCGATCCAAATACCAAAAATCTCCACCTTAGAAAAAAATCTATAACAAGGGTACACTTGAGATATATATTCAGAATTCACAACTCCTGTCGAACCATGAAGTTACCCCTGTCTAATACTTATAGATATATATTCAGAATCTGATATAAAAAGATACACTTAAGAGAAGTTGAATTGCTAGCTTCTGGAGGTGCAAAATCTGAAGAACACTCTCTAAGTGATATTTGACGTAGACTTTAAAGCTGAAGGTCTCAACATCAGAAGAAGCAACATAATTGTCTCTACACTTGGTGAGTGTAAATTGGATTTTGGTGATTATTCAGAGTTAGTAATAAAGCTGAAGTTATCTGTACTGTAAAAAGCAAGTTGCATTATCAAATCAATTTGTTAGCTAGAGTCTTAGTTCACAAGGCTCAAGAAAAGTTGGCATATTTTGCAGATATCTACTCTCAATGCCTCTATAGTACAGTATCTCTTTAAAGACTCAATAGTTAAATAGGTTACACAATAGGTCAAGATCTTTTGGTGTATATATCTTTAACGTCTCTTGTACTATAGAGAAAGCAAAGACACTTGATCAAGATATCTCTCCAAGGGCTAGTCTTCTTCAAATTCTATATAATTAGCTAAAGGATCAAACTGAATCTTTAACAAGGATCAACCTGATGGAAGAGTAACAAGATCAACAATTATCAACATGATCGAGTATGCAGAATTTGTGTTATAGGTTGTAATTGTAAAAGCCTTAAGATTTCTTAAACATTGAATATCTTAGAAATCATAAGAGCTTTAGGTCTTTGTTATGATGATTTCCATGTACCTCTGATATTTGTATCAAGTAAACCTTATTCTCTATTATGTTAAACATGTTATTTTTTAGTTTAGATTAAGTCTCTCGCCAAGATGACTGATAACGCGAAATCGTATATATATATATATATATATATATATATATATATATATATATATATATATATATATATATATATATATATATATATATATATATATATATATATATATATATATATATATATATATATATATATATATATATATATATATATATATATATATATATATATATATATATATATATATATATATATATATATATATATATTGACATATAATTCAACTAATATTTGACTGGTTTCAATCCGATTTCAGGTTTTTCCATGTTATTTGTCTGATATTTTGCAGGTATTTGAAGATCATGTCCAAACAAAGCAATATGAAGAAAAGAAGCAATTACAGATGAAATATGGACGAAAACTAGATGAAAACAACATGAAAAAAAGCAAATGCGAATTTTGCTGATATGACGACCGTCACAGAACTATGACGCCCGTCACACGGGTGACGACCATCACACACCATGACGACCGTCATGCAGGCAAAAACGCAGAACTTCAGTAAACGTTCAAAAACTAGTTCCAAGTCCCAAAATAATGGACCACTACTTCCTATTTTCTCTGACTCCAAGTCCACCTTCTGCAAGATATAACCGTTAGTATTTCACCTCTATAAAAAGAGAAGGAGGGGAGCGGAGAAAGAGAGACGCATTCAGATAACGAAGTGCTGCCCAAATATTTTCCAGAGCAAATTTAGTTTAAGTCTTGTTTTTATTCTCCTTTCCTTTTTCCTGTATTCTATTACTGCAATATTCCTTTGTACGCTCTATTGGCTTGAAGACACAATCCTGCCAACATCGTTGGAATTTGGCCAAAAGCCAATTGGATACTTTATAGGTTTTTATTATTTCGTTAATTGTAACTATATTTCCCAGCAGTATGTATGTTCTAAATTTCTACTTTTATTTACGCTTTACCTGTTCCAAATCCATGTCTAGCTAAACCAGAGTAATCGGTATGTAATAATAATTCAGACG